CAGGACGCGGGGCGGCTGCGGGACTCGCGGGGAAAGGGGACCGACCGACGGTGCCGCCGCCTCCCCGCCAGGGGAAGACCCCTGTCCGGGGTCCTGATGGGCCCAGAGGGACACGAGCATTCCGAGACGCTACAATTCAGATGGCGGGGGCTTCATCACGATAATTAACTCCGCCTGCGCTGGGAAGGGCTTCAGATCCCCGAGCGGCTGGGCCCGCAGACAGCCTGCCAGCCTCAGCGACCTAACGTAACCGCCTGGTCTTCCTTTTTTAAAAAAGCCTCTGCCCTCCAGNGGCCTCCTCCGCTCCGGGAGCGCGGCCGGCAGTCCGCCCGCCGCTGCTGACCCTCCTTCGGCCTCTCCTCCGGGAGCCGCCCGCCTTCCAGGCCGGGTCCCCCCTCCTCGCTCGTGGGCTCCCGGGCGCTTGCGTCCCGCGTTAAGGAAAACGCCAGGGGTCTCCCTCGTCCGACGGCGCCGCGCCGCTCACGCCCGCTCGCCAGCCCCTTCCTCACGTTACCGTTAGAACCGGCTTCTCCTTCCTGTCGACGCGGGCCCCCGTCGTTCATCCTCACCCCAACCCCAGGAATAACGTCCACGATCCCAAGCAGCCATTCCGCCGGCTGCTGGAGGATCGGCCAGCGGAACATTTCCCNCGAGCCTGCGGGAACGAGCCTGCGGGAACGAGCCTGCGGGAACGAGCCTGGCTCTCGGCCGGGACAGAAATAACTTCCGCCCCCAACCAAGATGGCGGCCCCGGCGGGGCGGCCGGGCGGAAGTGACTTGTGGGGCGGCTGACGGGTCCAGCATGGCGGCCACGGCCACCTCCGCCGCGCTCAAGCGGCTGGATCTGCGCGACCCCGCGGCGCTTTTCGAGACGCACGGAGCGGAGGAGATCCGAGGGCTGGAGCGCCAGGTTCGGGCCGAGATTGAGCACAAGAAAGAGGAGCTGCGGCAGATGGTGGGCGAGCGGTACCGCGACCTGATCGAGGCGGCCGACACCATCGGCGAGATGCGCCGCTGCGCCGAGGGGCTGGTGGACGCCG